CTCTACTTCCGGGTATATGTGTCGATCACGTTTTTTTCTGCCGGGGGTTTCGGCGATAACAAAGGCACTAAGACTAAAGCACCCGACGGTACCTAGAGAAATCCTTATGGTGATTGACTCTTTCGCCGATTCCGGGCCGTTGAAGCCGAGTATGGTTCTATCATTACCGAGCGTTCGTTCTGTTCTAGTCGTGATTCACTTCTATTTATTCTTTCCAGTACATACTTCCGTTTCCTCTGAAGTCCGAGCCGTTGATTTGCTTCTTGCAAGTTGCTGTGGCCCAAGCCATTTCTGAACTCGCTCCGAGAGTTTGTTAGTGACTGAATCTAATCCAGCACACAATTGACGTGTTCTACGTCTCAGGAATAGAATCAGACACCCAACATCTAGCAATCAAGAGCGATCGCAAAGACTTAAACTGCCATCAAATGGCTACACAACATGGCAATACTGCGCAAAACGGCACCACTCAAGAGGAAGTGGACGATGCCGAAGAGCAACACAGACGTTATGCTCAGCATGAGCCTTCACAGGCAGAACATAACTCGGGAGTTTCACTGGCCCAGGCCACTGAGTCTTCGCCACGAGGAACAAGAGCGAACAAGCCTCATGTTGTACGTCCGCACTTGGGGAAAGAATCAAAACCCGCAAAAGAGGCAGTCGCTTGGAGAGATTTGCCGCACAAGCAGCAACTTGTCGTCATCGTCTTGACAAGATTATCAGAACCACTTGTGCAAACAAGTTTGCAGTCCTACATGTTCTATCAACTCAAGTTCTTTGATCCTTCACTCTCCGATGCTGTCATTGCAAGTCAAGCCGGTATTCTGCATGCCTCGTTCACGGCAGCTCAGCTATTCACAGCGATGATTTGGGGACGTATTGCAGACTCTAGTCGCTTTGGTCGGAAGAAGGTGGTCCTAATAGGCCTGGCTGGGACCATGGTGTCTTGTCTGGGATTTGGACTCAGCACATCGTTCTGGCAGGCGCTACTATTCCGAATTCTAGGGGGAATCACCAATGGAAATGTTGGTGTTTTGAGAACTATGATCTCTGAACTTGTACGAGAGAAGAAGTATCAGCAACGAGCTTTCGTCCTGCTCCCAATGACGTTCAACATCGGTGTCATCATAGGACCTATACTTGGTGGCCTCCTCGCAGATCCCGCAAGCAGCTATCCGAACGTGTTTGGCAACGTTGGGCTTTTCCGTCGATTACCATATGCCTTGCCAAATTTCGTCAGTGCATTCTTCTTGCTATCCGCAGCTACGTGGGCGTTTCTATGCCTGGAAGAGGTAAGTGCTATTTCTGTAACTCCGTGATGTCGACCATGCTTTGCTAATGAACATCAATATTAAAGATACTAGATGCACGGGCGGGAAAAAGAGACCTTGGGATAGAATTTGGCAAAAGAATTGCATCTTGTTCCAAGAGGTCACCAGTCGCATATCAACCACTTGCATCCGAAGATTACGACAACAACAGCCTCCAGCTGTCGCATTCTCGAGGCGGTTCGACTTCTTCCTCACAGGCCGTTACACCTTCACCAGTGACCAAGCGTCGGCCTCGATATACTCAGCGTCTACCTTTTCGGCGCATGTTCACCCGAAACGTGATCGCTGCCCTCTCTTGTCAGTCACTTACGGCCTTCCATATTGGGACCTTCAATTCGTTGTGGTTCATCTTTCTTTCCACGCCAGTGTATGACCCGAGTCAGCCGAATACTCCAGAGCGCCATCTACCTTTCGTTTTCACTGGGGGCATTGGCCTTCCACCAGCCCGCGTAGGGTTGGCGATGTCAATACTTGGAGTCATCGGCATCACCCTACAGCTCTTTGTTTACCCAACTATATCTGCACGACTCGGCACTTTACGGTGTCTGCGATTGTTCCTCCTTTGCTTCCCGATTACGTACTTTTTTGCGCCGTATTTATCGCTTGTGCCAAGTTCCTCGCAACCGCCCGAGCCAAAGTCAGGTTTTGCCTTATGGGTTTCCATAGGAGCAGTCCTGTTTTGCCAGGTCATTGGGAGGACATTTGCTTTACCCAACAATACTATTCTCGTTAATAACGCCTCTCCTCACCCAAGCATCTTGGGTACCTTTCACGGATTCGCTCAAAGCTGCACATCAGCAGCTAGGACGGTGGGACCCATGCTTGGAGGCTACTTGTATGGAGTTGGGCTAGCGAAGGGTGTTGTTGGCGGTGTATGGTGGGGTTTGAGTGCGTTCTCGACTATTGGCTGGATGGTGAGTTGGCTAGTGAGGGAGGGCGATGGTCATGAGATCTGGCTTGAGGGCGATGAAGTAGAAGAGGACGTGGACGCAAAGCAAGATTCACCAACTCGAGTTTAAATGAGTCATATGACATAACAAGTCTACAATATGTCTCAAGCAACCCAACGCACCCGACCGAGTTATTGTGCCCTCGTCGTCATACGCAGCCGAAGCTGTTATTAATCTTCAAGGCCTGTCAGCCGATACCTGCGCCGCATTTGTTCGGTATGGAGCATTCACGCTCCGGATCGATGAAGTTATAGCGACCACGAAGATTGATCCACCACTAAGAGTCACACCGCCACAGCAGGAACTCGGTCCACGCCTATCCATCTCGCTGCTGCATGCAGATATTATCCTAGCCAAGACGAACGAGGCCAAAACGCCACGAAACGTTGACTCTGATAATGTAGCGTTGCAAGTGCTGCGTTGCGGTTGCGTTCGAAGAGATGTGGTACAGGGGAAAAGATGTCAATACGCATCTCGAAGGCAGAGAGATAGAAACTGATACGGGAGCGAAACAAGGACTTCCGGCATCAAGCTGTTTAGTTTGTTTCTTCTGTGATATTGTTGTTGGTGAAACTTACCTAGATAGTGGTGAAGATTGTGCAAATAGCCCAGACTCCAGTGGCATGCTGCTCGTACAGTACAATGACCGCGGATATAGCAACTCAACAACAATCTGCCCCCTTCCCAGTCACTTTGTTTTCGTTCCATCATTTCATCCAGGGCTTCCTTCATAATCGAATATAGCTAATTCTCCTCCCACGGGGGTCAGGGGCTCTAAACCGACTTGTTCATCAAACTATCAATCCCATAATGAACACTCATACATAGCTAAACTACCCACTTGACGTACAGCACATTCTTAATTAGATGATGATTTCTCGAACTCAAATATACAGAACGATACCTAACACGCTTCTCATCAACATTTCACGCTGTCGCCCGCCATCACTTGGATCATTCGTTTACACGCCGAGTCTAGCATGTGTCAGCATGTGTGAAGTGCGTCCGCAGTGATCTGACGGGAAACTAAAAAGGCTATCGGCTGTTCTTGCTGGCCTTCAATTCTAATCAGATCCACAGGACCAAATGTGCCTTCCTCGAAACTCCTCTACGCATCGTGACATTCCCCTTGCTTTGCTTGGTGGAGACACCAAGCATTTGGGGACCTGATCCATGGCAAGGATCCGTTAATGAAAGAATCTCGAATAAGTCTGTGGTTACTGCTGTTAGTATGACATCCGCCGCAATGCTCGACCGGCGAAGATCAGGTGTCCAGCAGGTCGAAGCGGCCGTATCCTTCCTATTGATGTAGGTGAGTCATATGGGGGCAGTTCTATCCTACTCAACCGACCAGCGAGAAAAACCTGAAAAATTGAAGAGACATATCCTGTATACCAGGGTCAAAGTCTCTCCCGATGGAGTTCCTGTGTATGAGTGTCAGTCAACGAGACTTTCCCGGCTGACGGTGCCTCGTTGCTGCGGCATTTGTCCTTGTCTGCCTTTGGCCCCATCAAATGAGACGATCCGTCCGCAAACCCAATGACCGAGATTTCGTTGGATCTGTCGCCCACACATGTGCAGCTATGTTCCTTTCGGATCTGTGGGTTATTAGTATTGTGAGGGGTGATATCAAAGTGGAAGTTCATGTAATCGGCGTAAATGAAACCAGGCAGCGGGGACTCATGAGCCAAGGGCGTATATCTCGCAGAGCTTCTATTTCTCTAATGCTGTGCTGCACCTTGTTTCCGCGTCTCTGAGTATGCTATGGCATCCATTATGATCGACTACGACTTGTATTTGCGGTGCGCGGGTCTAGCTTTGCACCTAGCCAGCCAGGCTGCCCAGGCAAGTGTCCTCCCTACCAAAGATGACAGAACTTACAAGCAGCGGTTAAGACTGCACCAAGGGTGAACATCGCCGATTACAACTTCAACCAAAATTTCAACAACCTCCTTCACATCTTCTGCAACGGTTGTACCAAGCACGAAAAGGTATGTTGCGAACCTCTTGCAACTACCATGGTAATCGACAGATTCCCCCTTTGTCTGCGTTCCCCGTCAACGAGTTCTTCACGACCAAGACTCTCACTCTCTTCGATCTCATTGAGTCCTGCGTACCCATTCGGACGAAGAACTTAGAAAGAGTATTATCGATCAGAGCCAGGTTCTTCAGCGCAGTCTTGCATACCAGTCTTCTGGAGAACAGTACTGGCCGAATGCCCAACAACCATTTCATAGCTCCGTAGTGCCGTCGCAGAACTACGACTATTTCTTCTCTTGCGCTGTCTGACACTGTTAGAACTTAAGTGTCATTCAAATAAGTGGTTGACGTAGTGTGACGTTGGGAGGGTTAGGGGCCCAGGAGCGCTAGCGACTGGGCCGCCGCGGTCAGCCGTCAAACCAAAAATAGAAATATAGGCATTTTGAATTCAAAGTGCAGTACTTCGACAGCGACAGATAAATAGATAAGAAGGCGTATCTGGAAATCAAGCCTGTGGTCATAAAATAGATATATGGGAATTTCCTTTTACCACGAGTTTATACGTGATGTCGGGCCTCGTTAGTGGTTTTAACGTGAACCTGATCGACTAACTTATTTAAACATGTCTGCAATGCGTCGAAGTCGTCAAAATCTAAGAATTTTCCCGTGTAACAAAAAATAATGACATTCGAGTAAAAATTATTCAATCTTCACCAACAGTGATAGAAACCAAAAAGATCGCCCGAGGGGGGGGTCGAACCCCCAGCCTTAGGATTTGATATTACATATGCTGTAAAAGTCCTACGCTCTAGCCGATTGAGCTACCCGGGCAGGTGCGAGTACTTATCCATCGAGCAAATTTGACGGTTTATATCCACGAATCTTTTAGCAGTCTCCCAGACAGCCCCCCGGGTCCCCACGGCTACAACCATGTAGAGTAAGAACGGACCACTTGAGTCAGCCTGTATCATTTTGCGGTCAAAAATTCGCTCACTATATTCATATCGTTCTATGATTCAAAAGGCAAAACATTTTGAGTCCTGGATGCGAGTGGCGCGCAGCTTGAGTTTCCGTGGACTGACGCATATATTGATCATTTTCCTTCCATGTAAAGGAACATCAAAACAGTAGAAAGAATTGGAAAGGAGATTCATCGTAGCTAACCAACCCTCTGGAATACGACAAAAAGTAAGAAAAAATCGGCATTTTACGCATTCTCGAGCAAGCCAGTCTTCTCAGTACAGTGAAGTGGTTTGATTCTCAGTCTTTCGAGATTTGGACCAAATTTTGCTGGCTGCTTGAACGCTTTTGATGATTGTACTGTACAAATGGAATCAGGCCCATCAGCATCAGCATTTTTGTGTGGATGCAAGCTGTCATGACCATGGAGGTCACAAGCGCATTGTCGTGCACTTGAGTTTAATCACCGAGGATCGGTAGTCATTGAAGTCCTCTCGGTCACCCGAAGCCAAAGATTGGACGGCACGTACTGGAGCCGGTCTTCCTCGTGCAAAGGATTCTTGGGGTAGACAGGCTGAAGATCGAAGCGTCGCAGCAGCTGAAGTTGCCTTGTCAGCGTCTTGGACAACTGGATGCAAAGGCCTGACCAGTGACCGATCGACCCTTGAACATACCTCAACGAATATCTTGTTCAGCTCCATCATGGCAATGTGCTTTCCTATACACACCCAACGTCCATACCCGAAATTCAGCTCAACTACTCGCATCATCAGGGCCTTGTGCGTTGGGTCTGCCTCGGCTTCTATCCACCGCTCCGGCCGGAATACGTCGACGTCGCTTCCAAAGACATCGGACAGACGCTGCATGCTGAGGGTGCTGTGGGCAATGTCGACGCCGCCCGGAACAAAGACGCCATTGGGCAAGGTATCGCCTCCCGGGGGTACTTTCTTGCCCATCTGACCTGAAAAGGGCGGATTCATGCGGAGTCCTTCGTAGAGGACGGCCTGTAAGTAGGGCAACTGCAGCGCCTCGCTATTTTTGACGGTCTCGGCGTCACTTCTACCCGCAAAGAAGCCGTCGATTTCGGTGCGCAGCTTTTCGTACACGTGCGGTGTCGACAGGAGGTACAGCAAGGTGCCCCGGATGGGCGTGGCAACAGTATCAGACCCAGCTACAATCTGCAGCAGTACCTCGGTCTCGCATTGCCGCCTGTCAACGCCGCGCCGCACGAAGGATCCGAGCATGTCCTGCCTGTCTCTTACAGCCCCATCCACCGTGTCGTTAAAACGTGTAGCAACAACTCGCTCGGCCACTGCGAGCAGTTTCCCCCAGCCCTTTGCATCTTTCTGGCTCGGCCCCGTCAGAAGAAGACCCCACTTCGAGAAAAGGGCATTTCGAAGGAGTGGAATGTCATTCACGGACGAGAGTCGTGGCATCATAATCTCAAGGGATTCTATATAGCCATAAACGTCTGAGTCGGTGGCTAAGTAGCCAAAGGCCTCGCCAAAGGCGATTCGTGTGATGGAGTCAAGTGTGAAATACTGAACAACCCGTGCGAAATCTGACAGGAAATACTGTTAAAAAATTCTGTTGTATTTGCATTGTCTCGGGAACATCAAGATGAAGTCTCGCTACTTGTCTCCCGTAGAACAATTGGAGGCTTGAGATGAGAGCTCAGTTTATTTACCTAGGGGTCGGTACTGGTCTCCTTGGGAGATGTACCGGTTTCGGATGAGCGCAACAAGCGACCTGAGCTGCTCGTCGACATTACTCTCGAGGCTTGGGTTCTCTTTGGTCGAGTAGCCCCCAATAAGTTTGGCCCGGAGCTTGTCATGGGCGCCCGTATCGAGAATGTTGAAAAGATTATCGGTGTACGGGTTGAATTTGAAACCAGCATACCAGCCGCTGCGTGTGTAGGTGGCCCTCACAGCGCTCATGTGCATGATTAGTTTCGGGTCGTCGGTTAACAGCTCGTTCGGTCCAATACGGACAAGGGAGCCGTATTCTCTGTGCGCATCGCGGTAGTGCTCCGCCCGCTTTCCGCTCAGAGCAGCGCGGAACTGCCACAAGTATGATATGGACGCGAGTGGCGGGCCAGGGATATGGCGGAGGCGATACCCTAGGACAAGCCCGAGTTAAGATTGAAATTAGACTTGTCCACTAAACATTGTATTCGATGCTTACAGGAATAGGTAGTGCTGATGACAAAGTAGAGAAGCACTCCCAGTCCGACAATGATCAACGGCGAGTAGGAGGTGAAATAAGTAGACGGCGCCGAAGGGGTACTCATGGCTGCTGGCTCCGGTGAAGTAAACTCAACCAAGATGGCTACAAAACGTATCTTGGAACTATACGGAATCTGCACACTGCAGGTGCCGATTTCAGCGCCGATATGAGTTGCACGACGAACGATAGCTCGAAAGATGGGAAACTCAAGTCGTTTTCTGTCTTACGTCCAAATGGCATCTTATAGGCCTGGAGCTTCATGGGGCCTCTCTCACACCCCCCACACCGATGTTCGAGTCTTACAACATTTGCGACGTGGCGTCAACCCCGCGCCTGTACTATCGCCATCTGGCTCTTCAAGGATATGATCATCACTTGGCATTGTCCCAAGTCCAATTCGTCGTGGTGCAGGTGGCCATTTCACGATGAATTCCCATTGGAGAACCGCTGAATTTCTCGCAGCAAGACGACAATGCTGACGGCAACCATGAGGGAAGTCTTTCATAAAGACATGCGTAAGCCCCAAGCAAGACCATAAATCATGGATGAGAACAGTAAAGACGTTTTCAATGCACTTCAAATTGATACTGTGGAGGTCCAAAGCTGGATGATGCTTGCATACCTAGGTAAATTCAATATGCTGTCTCGTACGTACTCACAAACACGTGATTCTGGCTTGTGCCATTCATTCAAGACACATGCGGTGATTCATTCTAATAGCTGACTGATGTTCTGAGTTTATCTACAGTTTATATCTTTTTAGTTGTGCCACTGCCTCCTGGGCTTCGAATTCAATAAGGTCTTCGGTTCTTTTCGATCGTGGTGTGAACCACACTTTGAAAGGTAGGTAGCCATGCTCAGACATCTTCCTACTGCTTGGGAAAGCGTGCAGCTTCTCAGTTTGATCCTGGTCGATAGTTAGCAGCAGTCTTCCTGTGTATGCCTTCGTCACCATTTCCGAACATTCCGGCCCTGTCTCAGAGGCTCAAGGGTCGATGCGCCTCAAAGCTTTTCTCGTTGAGGCTCGGGACGACAGCGTAGTCTCTGACTATGTCCATTCGGCTTCGCCAGGTAAAATCACCCTTGAACACGTCGCCTTACCACCATCCGTGTTCTTGGGAAGGAACGCTAGTCTTGGGTACTCACCGATTTATCGAGGCCCGGCTCAACTCTAAACGCCCATAGCAATCGTGCCAAAACCGACAAAAGGCTCTGCTCCGCGAGCGCCTGGCCATTGCACCATTGCATATTCCATCCGAATGCATTATTCTCTCCTCCATTCGGATCGTGAAACTTGAGTCCATCCTCTGTATTCTGCAAGAATCTTTCAGGCCGCAAGACATCAGCGCTGGGGAAGTCTCTTGCGTTGCGATGAATCGCCCAAATATTGCAGACGATTTGTGTTCCCTTCGGAATCAAGAAATCTCGGAACATGACGTCTCGTGTAGACGGGTTGGCGCAGGCCATTTCCACGACGGGCCGCCATCGTAGGATCTCCTTGGCTAGGGCAGAAACGTAGGGAAGACGGCCTTCGTCAAAGTCCTCCCAGCTAGGAGATCGGGAGTTACCAACCACGGAGTCGATCTCTTCTTGTGCGGCGATTTGAGCCTCTGGAAAGAGACAAAGTGCGGATACCGCTGATATGAGCGCGGTGCTAAGTTTCCTAGCGCCATTCAAATGGCTAAGCTTTGTTAGCATTTACATGGGACTCGCTGCGTCGTTGTCAGACCTACGCCCCGGCAATAGATGCTGAACCTGTAAAAGAAAACCCCCATCGCTGTTGTTTCTTGGCTGAATCAACAGAGGATATGGGTGGTGGGTAAATTGTAGCTTTGCCCTGTTCATGGCTACATGTAGGTAGCAGGGTCCGAATGGAAGATGATGTAGCATGCGTCAGCCACTTCGCAAACCGTGAGTGCTGAATAAAAGCACCCCACCTGTGAACAATGTCCACCACGCGGTCTGCGTTCTTCGTCCTTTGGTCATTGTCTCCCGCACTCGACCGATCTCCCTGAAGTATAGACACAACGCAGTCGGCATAGTGCTTGAAAGCCGAACTACAGTCACTGAGATCACAGTCACTGAGATCGGTCAAGAGAGTCAGTGTTAGGATCTTGGCTTGATTACCTCGAAAACTTCGGTATCTGGCCGTGGTCCCCTTTGCGAGAAGCGAGCCCTGTTTCAACATTGAAGAGTCAGTACTCTACGCTTGGTCGTTCAGCCCAGGGTTTAGCCACTCACCTGCACCGCATGCCTCGATGCAAATACGTCGGAATGGCTTTCGCAAATATCTCGTGCCGTCCATGCATTATTGACAATGATAACTGGAGTTGTTCCTTGCCAAGCGGTGATCCTGCAGACGTTTGCATCTCGTCAGTTGTCCAATGTCCCTAGGTAGAAATTCAGGGCCACAAAGCAAACCGCAGCTCTAGCAAAATCTCGAGATGTATCACAAACACAGCAGAAGAGTTCTTCGGGGGCCACGTACATTGCACTGTCATATGTTTGGGCCCATTTCTCAAAAGTGACCCATGGTTGCTGACTAGATATCTGAATGGAATTTCCAACTATTGGCAACGGGAACGGACCCTGTGGCAATTTTCGGCGCTGAAGGAGAACTTGTGTATACTGAATAGTGATGACAC